GACAGCTAGAGTTCCTCTCTGACCACAACCATGCTATATTTTTTTTTTCATCTAACTGCCACCTATGTATAACAGAGTGCCCTGGATTTACTGTGTCACCTCGTTTGGTTTTTATATTGTCTTTTTTAAATTCCCAACAATCCGTATTGCCTTTGACATTTGAACTGATTTCACTAATTTTGATCTCCCTGTCATTGTGAACTTCTAGGGCACTAATCAATGTAGGATCATCAAATAATTCATGTTGGAAAGGACCTGAGGAGGTTCCTGGCACAACCTCCTGCTCAGAGCACGTCAGCTCTGGAATCAGAGCAGGTTGCTCAGTGCTGTATCAAGTCTAGTCTTGAAATCCTCCAAGGATGGAGATGACACAACCTCTCCAGGCAACCTGTTCCTCAGGCTTTTCCTTATGTCCAGTCTAAAGCCTCTGTTGTTAAGAATTGCTTCCAGTGTCTGGATCTGTATTCTCAGTGACCTCACTGTAGGAGTGCTGCTAGGACCCTGGTATGCCCAGGCAGTCTCCCATCCAAGTACTAAGTGTGCCCAACCCTGCATTAGCTTTAGAGCTCAGAGGAGCCCAGGCATGTTGCATGGTGTGACCATAGGCAGATGTGAGCCAGTACTGCTGCTGGTGTATTTCTGAAGGAATTTCTCTGCTGAAAATTGCCCCTGGATCCTTTCTCTGTTGAACACAGTTTAGCGTACGTGATTTCCAGTCTGATGCAACTTCTTACCTTATGATAACTGAGCTTCTCTAGCAACCTTTTCTAAAGGTTTTGTCAAAGGATTTCTGAAAGTCAACACTAATTACATGTACCGGTGTTCCTCACTGCTAATTTGACACACTTCAGGAATTCTAATAGAGCCCATCCAAGACATGACTTCCCTGTGCAGAAGCCATGCTGCTTTGTCACAATGATGATTTGCCTGGTTAAGTGCTCTGTAGTTCTGCCACGATCGAGATTTACCTTTAACGTAATTAACCCAGTTCTGATGCAGGACTTTCTGGTTTGCCTTGATAAGATTTTCTCTCCCTTAATGTTTCCCTTTAAAAACAGATTTCAGATTGCCTGCACTCTAGTCTTGTGAAGGGGAAGCTGGTTTTTTTGCAATAGTAATATTTTTGGTAGCAGCTCAGGCAGTGTGTTTGTGAGTTCCTGGAGAGTTTTGGGTGAGTGCCAGCCAGTAGAGATGACATGCTGCAAACCAAAGTGATTTGGATGTCCCATGAGCAACTTTCTTGTCTCCTGAGGTTTTGCATGCCTCCTCCATGCTGCCAAGGGCTTGGTGGAATCTCCCACCCATTGCTGTGGAAGGACCGTGTAAGCAACAGTTTACTTCACTGCAGTTGTTGCCCTTTACCAACAACTGGTTTTTGGCAAGGTTTCAATGGTGCTTTCTTACCTACAGTAGTTTGTGCCAGTTTCTGGAAACTTTTGTTTCAAAGAGGCTTTTTCTGGCAGTATGATGACCTATATGCAAACAAACGCACAGCATGTTCTTTTGAGCCTGAGAAAGGCTTGCTAAGACATTCTCTCTTCGGTTTGAAGAAATACCAAGTGTGTAGCAATGATTTCCATGAACAAGGTTCTGCAAACTCAGCATAATACTGAATTCAGCAAAAAATTACATGGTTTGAATTAACATTTATATAAAAGACTTCCAGCCCAGCTTGCCTCATAGTTCAGTTAATACCCAGTCCCTGTGTTTCTCTTCTGAGGAGAGGAAAAAAGTTGAATTCTGCTAATTTTCTTCGTACAACATGCCAGAGCCCTGTGGTGACCTTTTCTCTTTGCACTCTAAACCCTTTCCCTGTGAAAATGAACAATCTACTTCCCAGTGCAGGGTTTCACCATCTTGCTCCTGTCCTGCAGGATAAAGTCCTCTTGGAGAGGAAACACCTCATGCCTGAGGGTCATTCAGTCGATGGCAGATCATGGAAAAGGGAAGACCGTAAATCACTTGTGTTGAAACATTAAAAGATGATAAATAGGTGGTCCTGACTGTAGCCCATCCCTGGCTTCCCTGTGCGCAATGCAGGGCTCAGGGTGCTTCCTGGAGCGGCCGGGGGCTTGGCCAGGGGAAGTCTGTGTTGGACTGAGATTGTAGCCGCCGGCCAGGGCATCCACACAGACTCTGAGCGGCTGCGGGAAGGGATATGCTGTGGATCCGCTTTCAGGAAGTCACTGGAGTCACAACAGTAACCTCGGGAAAGCATGGTGATACAAGCAGCTGGGTGGAGGTCCTTCCTGGGAGTGTATCTGGGGATCTGCTGGAGTGTGGATGGTGCACTTTGCAGCCCCAGCATCTCAGTACCATGTTGGTCAGGTTTCCTAGCATAGAAGACAGGCTGGCTCGCCAGTGGGGAAATACAGTGTGGTGTTTTCAGCACTTCACAGGGCATGCAATGAGTTTTTTAAAAAAATACACTTGATGAGAGTTGTAGTTAAAAAGTGGGAAATTACTAATTAGTAACCAAGTAATTCAGGGTTTGATTCACACAAATTGCACTATTACTGTAAAAAAGGATTGCTATTTCAGGCAAACACTGGGTTTTGGTTGGTTTTTTTTACAGGCACTGAAAATGTAATTGATGTTCTGTTAATTACCTGCCAGGTTTCAGGTTTCTTGTACATTTTTTCGTCACTGAGACATTACAGGCGTACGACATGCCTGAGAAAAAGGAAAAAAAGAAATTAACACTATTCCCCTTTGCATTGTCATGGGCAACTCTCAGGTTTTCCCACTAGATTGTTCTTGTAAACTCTTGCATTTCACAGCACACAAGAGTGACCACTTAGAACGTTATTATAACGCTATTATTAGCATCAGAGTTCAGTTACACAGAAAGTTATGTGTGGGATGAGCTAAGTATCATTTTCTCTTTTACCTTACTGGAGTGCTAACAAAAGGATGGCTGTCAATTCTTCATGTTAGTCTCAATTTATGAGGAAGGACAAAAATTAATTAGTTCTCTCCTGGTTAAGAAATGCAACTGTTAGCATAATAAAACGCAAGTGTCTCCGTCACCTACCTGTATGTGGGTCAATAAGCAGCTAGGTGTCTTCTCTCTAGAGATAAAGTCAGTGACTTTGGGTTGGTTGTTTGCTTTTTTTCTGTTCATGTAGGCGTTTCAGGTGGCTACTTAGAAGTGTAGCCTGAGTCAGCAGTAAATATTGAAAGTACGAGTAAAAGTGAAGCCATAAGCATCCCATTGATACTTCCAGTAATGTAGTGTTGGCAAAAATACCTATTTTGTAGAAAGAGTCATCATAGCCACTGACTTAAAAATACTTCTGTGAAAGTGGGAAGATGGAGTTCACTGAGAAGTCTAGAAAATACTTACAAGTAGCAAGTGGCTCCTCTTAAGTCCATTCCTGTCTACATTATTACTCTATTTCAAATGACACTGTACAGCACCCTGGTTTGAATTAATGGCAAGAGAAATAGTTTGAAGTCATGTTTTTTCTACTTGTCTACCTGTACAATGTACTAGCAAAGGAAAATGCTGCAAAGATTCCTATTAAAAAGAAGCAGAGGAGAAATTTTGCTTTTACTCGCTACAGTGGTCAGATATTTGTAGTGCAGCAGTATTACACCAAAATACCACCTTCTGTTGCCCTTAGCCCTGTGTGCCTCTGAATCTTACCTCTCAGAAGGCAGTTGTCATTCTCAATAAGGAAAAATAATTCCTTAAAACATTCGAAGTTTGTGCATTTGCATGACTTTTCTTTCAGCAGCAGATAGGATAATACATACAAATAACTTTTTTTTTCCCAGATAAGCTCTAGAAGGAGTATGTTCTAAAAGGAGTTTGTTTGGCAGTATATAGTGTGTTCAGACGCAGCACAGGCTTTTATGCTTTTCTACTTAGATGAGTTGAAACGGGAAAATAATGTAAAGAGTCTGGTGCTGGGCAAAAAGTTTTGGGTAAAAGAATTGCTTCAACATGTTCAAGTGCAAAGGGGGTTCACACAGGGTTGGGAAAGCTGTTGCCCGCCATCATCTCCCACCGCAAGTCCAGTCCCCATGTTCAGAGGCATTGCCAGGTCTACGTGCATCAGAACTTGCAGAACATCAGGCAGAGAACTTCCTAGCTCGGATGGTCTTAATGGGTGTCTTAAATCCTTCCAGACTCTGCTCTGCTGTAAGGAGGGAGAGACTTATCTGCAGGCAGGAGCAGCCCTAGCACCCACATGTGCCCTGCTGCCTCCACATGAGTCAAGGGATTTTCTTTGGGTCTGGAATTCAGAAACTGCCCTTTTCTGTAAATGGTATTAAACCACTGGTGAGGTTAAGTTGCTTTAGCCATACCTGGAAACAGATTTCTTCTGAAGCCATTAAACATTTTTGTCTCACCCTTAAGTCTTAAAATCACTAATTCTGATTGACATATGAGTTCACTGTGGTTAGTGGCTTGTCTTCGTTGTCTTTGCGAGGTATAGTTCCACCTTGCCTTTCACTTGCGATGAGGTCTTCAGTGTAAGCATGCAGCGCTGCCTGTCCACTGGAGACAAGACTGGGGGGTTGAGGGTTTTTTCCTTTAATATAAAAATAAAAGAAGCAAGCGCAAAGCCCTTTTTTCATTATTAGAAGACCCAACATTTACTCTTGCTTTTTTTGCTAAAATCTAAAATTTCTGATATCTCCATGTTATTTTACTGCCTCTACTCAGTTGAAAATCTTAGATGCATAGTAGGTGGTTGAGGGAAAGCACTTTGCAGTCCGGCTAAACCCTACTTTGGTTTTGAAGGGGAAAGTTGGGAGGTGAGTAGGTAATTGAAGCACAGCAGAGTGAAAGCTGGTGACAGTGAACACCCTTCCCAATATCTTTCCCGAGCAACTTGCTCGGATTTAAGAATTAATGGGCTACTTGGCCGTGGTCTCGCGATACCCAGAAATTAGGCAGCATCCCACCGTACCATGTTTGCCCAGCAGCTATGTTGCTCCTCACCACCTTGTTTGTGTTTTCTTCCCCCCCTTCTCTGCTGCAGGGTGTGAACGGCATGTCTGTGGATGAGAAGACTGACTCCCCCATGTATGTGTATGAGTCAACGGTGCACTGTACCAATATTCTCCTCTGCTTAAATGACCAGCGGAAGCAGGACATTCTCTGTGACGTGACGCTGATCGTGGAGGGGAAGGAGTTCCGCGCCCACCGGGCTGTGCTGGCTGCCTGCAGCGAGTACTTCTTGCAGGCCTTGGTCGGGCAGACGGAAAATGACCTGGTGGTCAGCCTGCCGGAAGAGGTACAGTATGTTGCCGTGCCCACACCATAAACATGAGCCCCTTCCATCCTGAGCAATTAGGAAGACCTCTGTGGCCAAGGGGAGTGTGGTGCAGGTGTCGGTGCCTGCCTCAGCGCTGCTCTGAATGTAGTTTTTCTCTTCAGATGGGTTGCAAATTGCTGAAGGATGGACTTGTTCAGTTCAGCCTTCCCCACAGCTCCTAGAGGTTATGGTGGCAAAGCTTTAAGACGCTTCAGTTCACCTTTGCACTGCCATGAAGGGAGCTGTACCCAAATGCCCAATTACCGTAGCTTTGTTCAGGGCGTTATCAGGACTTTGATAGTCTTCTGCTCTTCCAGACAGGAAATTTGAAAGGGGTGATGTGGCTGCTAGACAGCAGGTTGTTGTCGAAAAATTGTTTGAGCTGTCATGTTGTTGGGAATCACACCGCTGTCCCCCTCTCTGTGGCAGCTCGTATCCTTGTCCTCCTCTTTCCCCTCTCCTGCGCCTCATTGAGCCTTGCTTCCTCTCACCTCCCCTCACAACAAGTTTGGGTTAACTGCTTTGGGCCATGTGTTTTCCACTGAAAAACCATGAAGAGTCTGTCAAAAAGCAGGGTTTTTCTTCTGAGGCATGGTTCCCACAGCAGGAAGCCAGGGGACGTAGAAAATACATACCTCACTGGAAAGTTTACTTTATTTTACCACAAAATCTCACTGGCTGGCTTCCACCCCCACTGTAATTTCCTCACAGCCATAGAGCCGTGACAGCACAGCTACTGTAAGGCATGCCAGTGGCTTTGCTGTCCACAGAAGGGATATGTGTGCCTGCTGGCTAGGCTGCCATCACCAGCCACCTCAGCACTGCCTGCCCAGTGCCTCTGCTGGGATGGGCAGCACAAGAAGGGTGGCAATGTACCCGGGGCACAGGGCAGCAGTCACTCAGTGGGAAGGTACTCTGCCATACAGAAGGTTTTCCACCATCATTTGCTTACCACCCATGAAGCAGCGTGGTGTGTTTTAAATGATGATGCGTCCCAAAGTGTCACACACCGTTTTTTGCCCTCTAGTTTAACCTTCCAGAAACTTCAGTGGCATCATGATGTTGTCACAGCACAAGTTGGAGAGCATTAGGTCACCAGGGTGATTTCATTGAGTCTTGGCACTGAATATTACTCATGGAGAAATTTCAACCCAGACATTTTGCACAGGAGTTTAGAGGTATTGTGGAGGACACGCTAGGATGCACACTATGGTTCTGCAGCGTCCACTAATAATTTCCAGTGGAAAAATTAACTCTCAGTCAGTGTCGCATAGCTTTTGCACTGCAAAGCTAGGGCGGGAGCAGAGAAGTGACGGAATATGCCCGGGGTACACAGGTATGAAGAGATAGGAGAGTATCAGCACTCTTCTATAAAGCCTTGGTGAGACCTCCATGTATGATTCAGGTCCTGTTAGATAAAGAGATTTAATTGAAATTCACGTAAGCATATGTAAGAGTGACTGAAGTGTTCAGAAGAAGGAACTGGTTCAGAAGAAGGAGGAGATCGACAAGGCCATAGCAGGTTCATACTACTGGCGTGACAACTGAGACATGCTACAGCTCGTGTAGGCAGAGGACATGAAATGGCTTAGAGGAGGAATTTCTCTTTAATGCTAAAAGACAGTGTCGACACAAGCATTAATTGGTTTCAACTAGCTTTTAGTGAATGTAGATTGGAAATTAGCAGATTTATAAGCACAACAGTGGTGGGGTGCTGAGCCATAGGCCAATGGAAGGAGCAGGGTGGTGTAGGTATCGTGATGTGTCTGCACTTGGTGACCCAGTCCTATGTTCATATACACTAAAGGTTTAAAACACAAAGTTTTGTCTTTCTATGTGTTTCATGAGATACTATTAAAAAAATATTCCTCCAGTCCAACCAGAAATTATTTCTGTTTATGTGAATCCTTTTGGATAAATGAAGTGTTGGAGTTTCAAATTCTAGAACATATCTCATGAAAGATCAAAACATTTTAGTGCCTAAAGGTTATACTGGTGGTAGCTACAGGTCCAGTGAAGTCTATGGATTTACAGAAGCAGTGAATCTAGTTCTGAAGGTTTTTCTCAACACTTCACCTAAGACCACCACTGTTACTTTGCCACATGCTTCTATTAGTTGCAGAGCGCCAGGGCTTTAACTTTCTCATCCTGGAAGATAATTCTCTTTGCCTTTTAAAAAAAGATACCAGTGCTTACTTGTACAGATATTTTCCACGTGCAGATTAACTGCATTGATTCTAACGTGTCAAACAAAATAGCTACCAAGCAAATTAGATGCAATGCAGAGATGGTTAGTTAAATGATTTCCTCATAAATGCTAGTCACTTGGGGTGAAGAGAGCTGCCTGATGCACTCTGTTATTCCTCAGGTATTCCTTGGTTAAGATGCACATCTCTGCTTCTGGCATGGCTCTGCTTCTGAGTGCCAAGCGTTTTGGTAGGTGCCTGTGCATAGATACGGGAAGTGCCTCCAACAAAGAACAGTGTCAGAGCTTGCAACGAAAGGAACGAAAGCACTCTCCTGGGTTTTAAGTTCTGTTAGAGCAGGGGAAACACCATCTTAGCTGTATTGCATTAAAAGAAGTTAGCAGGGTCTTTTTCAGTTCACAAGCTAATGGCGCTTCCCAAGGCTTTTGTTGTTTTTAGTCTGTGGTCTGCAGAGCTCTGACAGCCCATGAGCTATTGCTAAAGGTATCTGTGAAAACTGACTTAATCTGTCATGTAGGGAGTTATTCCTCCAGTGGAAAAATTTCAAACAGAAGTTGAAAGTTGATGTCTTGAGCCAACGCTTTTTTTCAGGTTTAGAGACAATTTGTGTTGGCATATAGTTGTTACAGAGAAACAGAGATTGAAAATCATTTTTAAATACAGTCCTCACAGATCAGAACTTTTCTGAAGGTGATGAGCACTCGTAAATTCACAAAGCTGTTTTAAAGTCAACAATGCAAGCATTGCATTTTAAATTCTGGCATGGTTTGAAAACCGCTAAAGTGTGCAACTGTGGAGAAAGGGCATTATTATTATAATTTCTTAAAGGTTTGATGTTGGAGCTGGATAAAGCTTTGCTTATAAAGCTTTTACACTCATGTAATGTTGGTGTGAGGGAGCTTAACATCAAAACAAAAGAACTTCTTTTTGATTATTCAAAGCAGTAAATCTGCCTCTGAAGTCTAAATTGCAGACTTTTCTGTTACTTCATAGCATGTTGGGGTCTTTTTGTTAATCTGGCATCCAGACATTGTTAACTGTTGTCTAGCTAAACAGTGAACAGATGTTTTTTACATTATTTCTTCTTTATATCCAATTACAGGCGAGAGCAGTCTTTATGATACGCCAGTCATTTCAGTGGGGAGACATTGTGCACACTCAGAATTGGGACTGGTAGAACTTACAGGGTTTTAAACCGCTGCAAAACTTTGCGTTAAACATTTCAAATCAGTTCAAGCATGACTTAATGTGCCTCAGTTCCAACCTTTCCCTAATCAACTTAAACTAAGTCAGTATGGAGCTAATTCTGCACTGATTGAAGAGTTTCCATAAACCCTTTTGTGCTAGCCTCGGTAATTTGATTTTGTACTACACCTTTTGTTAAAGCAATGGATTTTAGTGTGTAGATAAGCACTTGGAAAAACAGCCACGTAATAACAAGGACTCAGATGTGGCCATGGTGTGTGATCAGCCCTCAGAGTAGAGTTAGAGGAATGGAGTGTGTCAGCTGCCTACAGCTAATTAAAAAGGACCCCGTTAGCTCTTAACTTCTACACTTTTCTTTTCATTGGCGGTTTTTGGTAAACAAGTAGAACCTCGCCTGCTTTTCACTCAGGGTATTTTTCAGCAGTTGTGCAGTTTGTTTCTCTAGCAGGTGCTGTGAAATGCAACCCAAAATTAGTATTTTCTGAAAACTGAGTTTAAAGCTGTAAAGTTAGTAATTCACTTCATGCCCCTAACTGTTGTTTTGTTTTATTTAATCACGAAAACTGGTCTTCCTTCCTTTAACAAGGCACTTAATTAAGCTTTTAATTCATGATAAGAAGTTAAATGGCACTTATGAGGCTTTTTTAATGGTTTCCACTTCCCATCCAGATTACAAAAAAAGGTGTGATAGAGAGAGAGACACGGCTGTCAGCCAGGGGTATTGTAGGTCATGCCAATATTAGCTGGCAGCAGGCCATTATCCAATTAACATTGCTTCATTGCTGCAAGTAATAGCTCTTGAGTAGATGATTGAGTCATTCATGCTGTAGTGGTACTCTACTTTACTTGAGAAGGAGCCAAGCTACTTTACTTGAGCTTCATCAAATAGGCTTTTTATTTGCTATTATTACCTGCCTGGCTTTGCTAATAGAAGTGTACAGCGAGTCTATATGGACAAGCTGAAATCACGGTCCTGGGCAGAGGAGCATTCTGTGCAAACACCTTATTCATTTGGTTTTCTGAAAGCTGAGGTTGCAGTTAATTGGGGAAAAGACAGAAACAGCAACAACAAATAAATCCCCTCAGGTGCATTAGACTCTTACAGCTTAGAAATGAGATTCCTGACCTTGCTTGCATTTTTTGGTTTACTTTGGGGTATACATTTGAAACCACTTTCACCTGGTCATTCCAGCCGTGAGAGCACCAAATGCTTTTCTCTCTGGTGAAGTTAAACACAGGTCTTCTGAAGTAGTAGACTGAGCTTTCTCTAGCACTGGTCTGGTACTGTCCTTTCTCGTATAAAACTAACTTAATTCTCCAGTAGGCTGGTTAGTTTTACCTGTAACCTTGAATTTCTTGAACCTATTTCAGAAAGTGATTACTGGTGACTTTTTTTAGTGCAGTGAACTATCTGCTGGAAATGTTGCCTTCCAAAAGGATGAAAGAGTTGTCTTTGGCTTACAGATCTTCCACGGGGCAAGGGAAAGCAGCATCTCTTTTAGGAAGAGGCGGTGGGATGTGCTTGGGGAGCCTTTTTTGTTTGTTTATCCACACAGCTCTTTTCTT